TTTATACAGGGCGCGCCCGGATTTGAACCGAGGACGTGCTGATCTGCAGTCAGCCGCTCTACCACTGAGCTACACACCCGTGATCGTTGCGAAAATTCACGTGCTTGTAACCCCAGCCAAGCCACAGGATGGTTGGAACAGATGTTTGGCGATATTGATACAGGGCGCGCCCGGATTTGAACCGAGGACCTGCTGATCTGCAGTCAGCCGCTCTACCACTGAGCTACACACCCGTGATCGTTGCGAAAATTCACGTGCTTGTAACCCCAGCCAAGCCACAGGATGGTTGGAACAGATGTTTGACGATATTGATACAGGGCGCGCCCGGATTTGAACCGAGGACCTGCTGATCTGCAGTCAGCCGCTCTACCACTGAGCTACACACCCGTGATCGTTGCACAAATTCACGTGCTTGTAACCCCTGACAGGCCACAGGATGGTTGGAACAGATGTTTGACGATATTGATACAGGGCGCGCCCGGATTTGAACCGAGGACCTGCTGATCTGCAGTCAGCCGCTCTACCACTGAGCTACACACCCGTGATCGTTGCACAAATTCACGTGCTTGTAACCCCAGCCAAGCCACAGGATGGTTGGAACAGATGTTTGACGATATTGATACAGGGCGCGCCCGGATTTGAACCGAGGACCTGCTGATCTGCAGTCAGCCGCTCTACCACTGAGCTACACACCCGTGATCGTTGCGAAATTCACGTGCTTGTAGTCCCAGCCAAGCCACAGGATGGTTGGAACAGATGTTTGACGATATTGATACAGGGCGCGCCCGGATTTGAACCGAGGACCTGCTGATCTGCAGTTAGCCGCTCTACCACTGAGCTACACACCCGTGATCGTTGCGCAAATTCACGTGCTTGTAACCCCAGCCAAGCCACAGGATGGTTGGAACAGATGTTTGACGATACTTATACAGGGCGCACCCAGATTTGAATCGAGGACCTTCTGATCTGCAGTCAGCCGCTCTACCACTGAGCTACACACCCATGATCGTTGCGCGAATTCACGTGCTTGTAACCCCAGCCAAGCCACAGGATGGTTGGAACAGATGTTTGACGATATTGATACAAGGCGCGACCAGATTTAAACCGAGGACCGGCTGATGTGCAGCCAGCCGCTCTACCACTGAGCTACACACCCATGATAGTTACGGAAATTCACGTGCTTGTAACCCCAGCCAAACCACAGGATGGTTGCAACAGATGTCTGACGATACTTATAAAGGGTGCACTCAGATTTGAACCGAGGACCTGCTGATCTGCAGTCAGCCGCTCTACCACTGAGCTACACACCGATGATCGTTGCGCAAATTCACGTGCTTGTAACCCCAGCCAAGCCACAGGATGGTTGGAACAGATGTTTGACGATATTGATACAGGGCGCGCCCGGACTTGAACCGAGGACCTGCTGATCTGCAGTCAGCCGCTCTACCACTGAACTACACACCCGTGATCGTTGCGCAAACTCACGTGCTTGTCACCCCTGACAGGCCACAGGATGGTTGGAACAGATGTTTGACGATATTGATATATGGCGCACCCGGATTTGAACCAAGGACCTGCTGATCTGCAGCCAACCGCTCTACCACTGAGCTACACAGCCGTGATCGTTTCGTAAATTCACGTGCTTGTAACCCCAGCCAAGCCACAGGATGGTTGGAACAGATGTATGGCGATAGTAATACAGGACGCGCCCGGATTTGAACCGAGGACCTGCTGATCTGCAGTCAGCCGCTCTACCACTGAGCTACACACCCGGGATCGTTTCGTAAATTCACGTGCTTGTAACCCCAGCCAAGCGACAGGATGGTTGGAACAGATGTATGGCGATACTGATACAGGGCGCGCCCGCATTTGAACCGAGGACCTGCTGATCTGCAGTCAGCCGCTCTACCACTGAGCTACACACCCGTGATGGTTGCGCAAATTCACGTGCTTGTAACCCCATCCAAGCCACAGGATGGTTGGAACAGATGTTTGACGATACTAATACAGGGCGCGCCCGGATTTAAACCGAGGACCTGCTGATCTGCAGTCAGACGCTCTACCACTGAGCTACACACCCGTGATCGTTGCGCAAATTCACGTGCTTGTAACCCCTGACAGGCCACAGGATGGTTGGAACAAATGTTTGACGATATTGATACAGGGCGCGCCCGGATTTGAACCGGATTTGAGCAGCCAACCTCTCCACCAGTGATAGATTGCTACGGAGCTATATGCCCATGGTTGACTTGCTTACGCTGAATCTCTCATTCTGTGACATGTTAGGAATGGCTGGAAAGCGTTTCACCGGACGGGCTCCAGAGTATCGCCGGATTTGGAATGAATAACGACCACGGGGATGCCCAATTCATGCTTGCCTTCCTCCCTAAGCTCGAAGTTAGTTCATCAACTAAGTTGATTCAACTTCCAAGCATGGCACTCTTAGGGTGCGGATGGGGTATGAACGTGATTAATTCGTGCATGAGTGTGCATGCTATTTCTCCTCGTGTTGAGTTTGTTTTCTGAATCTTCAAAATTGAGAGATAATGGTACCGTCTGTTTGAAACAATTTGATTCCTCAACTTATATGAAACTAGTGAGGGCGGTAATCATGGGACTAATTCCGCTCCCATCGGAGGTGGCAGCAGTATTCTTCGAACTAAAGGCCTACACTGACGGTAAGATTAGCCACACCGTCGTTGAGACTCGCGATTGCCGGACTAACAGTCATCCTCGCATGCCTTTCGTCTTCAAGGTGAATGTTTTGGCCTCCCGGAACTAGATTCTGGGTGTGTTATCGAAGGTAGCTACGACAGTGTCGGGAGGAACGGCCATGAAGGTGAACCGAGCAGCTCTGTGTGGGACCCGCAGCGTGGGAGAGTAGGGAGACTTCAGAATGTGTCCTCCATCAGGAACTGTCACTTCGGTGATGAGAGTAGGTCGTAGTGGCCCTGAAATTATATGGGAAAAGAAGAACCCCAAGGGGCTCTTCACGGTTCCGGTTAGTAAGTCCACACGCCGTGGATTGCAAAGTGTGCAATTGCGAATTGTCGTATTTGGATAGTATGTGCCGTTAGATAGAGTGCTTGTTGTTCAACTTTATCAGGCCTTCCTGGAATCTACAAGCTGTGTTTCACATCGACGATATCGACTCCCCAGACAATTAGTTTTAATTTCCAAGTAACTCAAGTGAGTCTCTTTGTAAATCGCTCCAAGTTATATGGAGAGAAAAACACCTCCAGCGGGGCTCGAACCCGCGACCACGGCCTTAAAAGGGCCGCGCTCTACCGACTGAGCTATAGAGGCTTGAAAAATATATAGAATCCTTCAGCTCCGTTCGGTTCAAGTACGTTCTCAATCATACCCTATATAGCCGCTTTCTGTTAGCGGGAAATTGAGCTCTATAAGCAGCCATCCGAAGTCATGCTGTTCTCGTCTCCAGATATCAAGTGGTCAAACCAAGAGCCTTGGAGGAGATCAGATGGCAACCACTGATCATACCAATGAGCTGAAGAACTTCGTGGAGGTGTTGAAGGGCAAGGTGCTATGCAAGATTAATTTCCTGGCGTTTCCTGGTTAATGGTGGCGCGCGTAGGTCGATACCCTCATGGATCAGCAGCGTTACAGTGTCGCAAGGGAAGCTGTGCACCGCAGTAAGTCCCACACTCGTCGTTCACGTGCGATTTCGGATATCCGACTTTATTCCGATATTCATAACAGATACAGCGGAGTCGACGAACTCGAGGGTCCTTTGGTGGGCGGTAGCTCAGCTATGCAGTGTTTTGATCTTGGCGTGTTTACAGTTGCACTACATGCAATCCTTCTTAGAGATAAACAGATTATTTGAGCGTTTAACATGATACCCATAGACGATAAAAACTCTGATTTCTAAGGTGAAGCGTTGTGTTGTCCTAGGATTTCAGATGTATCATCTAGGTCGGAGTCGTTGCTCGACCACCACGA